GTTTCCGTTCCCGGCCGGAGAAACGACCGGTCCGAACGAAATCGTGGAAACAGAGGGTAGGTAGCAGGCGTTTAAAATATTTCACGCTAATTGTAGGAAACTTTGCACTCGTACGCGGAGAGGATCGTTGTGTAAGAGATAGGGACCAACGTGGAGAGATCTGCCACGATGTTCGTTCAAACGGGTGTAATTTTATGCAACTTTCTGTTCTATTTCGCGATTCTCGTGGCGTGATTGTGAATTGTGATTAATTGTTCTAACGTTCTGGTGGAATTTTAGTTTGATTTTTCGGTGTATTGTTCGAGGGTAGTTCGATGGAAATTCGTCGGTTATTGTTTAAACGTTATTGTGGAAGAAAATTGGGAGGATCGAGAGTCGAGTATGGAAATATTGAATGGTAAAAGTTTCAACGAGTATCGATGAAACTTTTATAAAAGGTTTCCACGGTTATTGTACCGCGAGATATGTTATTACCTTTATACTTGTACGTAACGCCTCGCGCGCACCTGTGGCCACGAACACCTTACTTATTGCTCCTAATATCTCCCTCCTTAATGATTTTAATTAAACGCCACTCGCGAATCTAATTGTTCGTTCAAACAGTTTATCTTGACTGTTTCCAGGTAATCTAGGGGAATTATTTTTAGTCGTTACTGTTGGGTAATTCGTGTTCGTCTACTTTCGTCACTTTCATTTGCTACGCTCACTTTCCTGCGTTAATTGATGTGTCAATGCAAATTAAGCTTTTCGTGCCCTTAACGAGAAATACCGAATTACTAAATATTCATTCTATATTATCGACAATGTTTTTATTATTCAATGTACTATTTAACGAAATAGGTTTTCGCACAAAAAGGCACACTACCACTTTCTGCTACCGTAACTTCCCCCAAATTCTACGTTAAAAAATACGTAAACATAATCGCTGGAGTAAAAATAGAACCATAAGTACGATTTTTCTCTGCTGCTAAATTCCTCTTATTTCCCCACGACGAGTGCCAACGAAAACATCGTTTCCCGAAGAAAAGCTCGTTCGTTTCTACTTACTCGCTAATCTCCACTCTCGCCTACGTGCAACATGCATACATGGTCAAAGCTACGTATGCACGTACATTCGGATCCTCGAATGTTCAGATGGCCCCGCAGCACTCTGCCACTAGTAGCTCATTTGTTTTCCATTGGTCCGTTCGTGTAAACGCGGACCTGGTTCGTTCGTTCGTGCGTGATGTTAACAGAGAATTCGGTTTTTCCCTCGTACCCTCAGAGATTATTCTCGTGGAGGGTTTCTGTGCAGCGTCGACATGCACTTACCCTCGGATAGACAGGCAGGGTTCCTAAAGGGTGATCCCATGACAGTAATCCGATACTTGACCGATACAGGTCGTTGCGTGGGATATGAAACACGTGTTTCCGTGGGTGACGGGCCCCGCCACTTTTGGAATATTTATCAATATATGCCCGAAACCGACGTCCGTTCTTTCTCTTGGAAATCGCGCGCCTTTCCGAGTAACCCCGTGGAACCTGTTCATTTAGAACTGCGTAAAGTTTCAAGGGTTGCGCGTGTGCGTGCGTGTGTTGGAAAGGATGTAACGTTGCTGCGGTTCTTCAGAGGCACCGTGGAAAATTGTTTCGCTAATAGGAAATGTAAATTTGTTGGGTATTCGTGACGAGGATTGGCAAGGGCGATCGATGAATTATAGATGGGGGTCGAGCGTGTTCAGGGGATATTCAAGGTGTTTGGTTTGCACCTGTTTGGATTAGTGCCGATTGACCAAATACTTGGAAATATATCCTTTGCTTTTAGACGGTTCGATGTATTCGGTGGTTGTATTAGATCTTGTTCTATCAATTCGAACTGTGTACGATTTTCATATGAAAAAGTGAAACCTACTTATTCAGACGCTCGAGACTTGTTTCGTTGGAAAGGTTAGATTATACATACTCGAAAGTAGAAAATGGATTCTAATCAAATTCAAGTGATTTTCTTTTACGAATTCGACCTGCGTCTGAATAATTAGAAATCCTTCGTATCACACGAGCCAGTATCGTTATTTCGAACTGTAACTACCTAAATTCCTTAATTACAAATATGCTATTAATAGACAAAACGTCGCCTTTCAATTCACTTCCCTTTTAGAGCACCGCTGTAAATAGAGTGCTCGATTACAACCCAGAATTCCCCCCGTAAAATTCGAAACTATCTGTATTTACCAGCGCGAAAAGCGCGCTCGTTAAAAAAGTACATAAATAAACACGCTCGTTAAAAACCACGATGAGAAGAAGGCAACAATATCTTCGAAAAACTCGATAGAAATATCCACATTTGCATAAAAATCGGTCGATTTACAAACTTCAAAGCAATCTTCGAACTTGATCGAAACTTTCACCCACTCTTCACCGACTCCGTACATCACGAACAACGTTCGCCTAACCTATAAAAAACCATTCCATCCTACTGGCGAGAATCAGTTCGCAGTTGGTTTAATTCGGAGGTGAATCGCGGCGCGACGCCAGACAAACGAGAGCGGCGGCACAAGTGTTTTTCGGAGGAGGATTCTTTAGGGTTCGCTGGTGGCCGAGCGACGGAAGCTCGGTCAGTGTCTCGGCCACCCTCGTGCCGTGCAGGTTTGCGAGGGAGGAGACTGCTTGTTCCCGGCATCCCCTCTAGATATACATACATATCCCCCTCCTCCTCTATCCCTCTCTCGACTTAATGCCAGTACGAGCGCGCGCTTTCGAACGACGCGTCGTGTCGGCCGCGAGGGACGATCAGTCTGTTCTCCACGTTCTCCACGCAAGGACGATCGCCGCCGGCAATCCGTCCTCTAATCTGTGACACGAACTTTGACCGCGCTCCCGCTTACTGCCCTTCCTCTCGCGATCGTCTCGCTTATCGCCTTCTCCTCGATGACGTGGTCTCGTCAAGTTCCTCGATCGGCGTCGTCGGCTGAACCTCAGTAGCGATTACGGTTTCGTCGCGTTCGTACATACGTTCCATCGTGTCACACACCTACACACACACATATACGCACGTTGATTTTTCTCGCGTTTCGTCTAAATCATCTACGATCTCTTAAGTTCTACCTTCATCTCACGTGTCTTATTTTTCTTCTCATTTCTACATCGTGTTACCTTGTACATTGTACACGTACAAGGGGGTGGTTTCTCCTCTCGTTTCGTCGAGATAAATCCTCTTTTTCATTATCTGTCGCCGTTGTTGTTTCATACCTGGACAAGATTTGTTCGATACAATAAGAGTTCTCGTCAATCGTGAAACAATAACACGGACATGTGATCGGTGTACATACCCTTACGAGAAAGTTTTTTTTCCCGCGTTTCCGTAGTGGTGGTTCTCGAGTTGTCAGTGGAGGGAGAGCCTGTACGAAGGTGAAACGAGAAGAGGGTGAAAGAGAAATAGTGGCAAATGCGTTGGTGTAGACGGTAGTACGACGTACTGGTCTTTTATGGCCTAGGTGGTACGAAAGGGGAGCCGTTCGTTGTCGTATCGGCCGAACCACGATATCATCGAGATGAGACTGCTGCCGTTGCTCTCGATCCTCTGTTTGGCGAGCCGGTCCGCCGATTGCCGGGCCGTCGACGCTGATTCCACGAAGGACGACAATGCTGCCGGTAGGCATAGGTGCAAATTCACCGCGGAAGTGCTGTTGAACACCAAGTTCCCGCACGGGATCAGCGACGACGTCGACGTGGACATCTGTAAGGCGGGTAAGCGTGGAAAACATTTTCTCGCCGATCTCACGAGCGTGTGACGTTTCCCTGAATGCAAATAAGAGAAACAGGGGTCTCGCGTATTTTTAATTTGGTATTTTGTTCTTTGGTTTTTGCTGTGGAGGGAAAGTTCATTTAGTGTGAATTTATCGAATACGATACAGGTAGGATTTGTGAATGTATATTTTGAATTTCGATGAATAGCAGAAGCGTCCCATAGAGCTTCGCAAGTGCAATTATGTAAAGCGTACGTCTCGCTCTGAAAATGGTAAAAATGTGTACGTTATCAGCAGCATATAGTGTGAGATAGCAAAGAAATTTTCATCTTTTTCCATTGGTTTCGTAATACGCGTTGCGAAACGGCTGGCAGTAGACGATATAATTACGAAGAAGCGTCGTTACGCTTGATACAAAATTTGCATGCTATTGCAACATATCGGTGATCACAACAAAGTGTGTCGCTCGAATATTCGTGGCGTATCGCGATGAACGATTAATAACGCGCGGTCTCGCCAATTTTACCCTCCAAACACCAAACACCAAAACTCACCTGAAATATTAAACAAATCCCAGCAATAAACATCTTCCTCCCGAAAGAAACCAGCCAAAAAGATCTTCAGATGACATAAAAGTTGATCAAAATTCTTCTCGATTAAATTTCCACGCATAGAAAGTTCAAAATAAAATTCACCCTAGCTCAAACTAGTAATTACAACTAAATCTGGGTGACCAAACAATTACTTAGTTTTTTTAAAAAAAAAGAGAACGTTCAATTCTAATTCAAACGAACGCCACAACACATTGTTCTTTCCGAACAGATTGTAAATACTTAAAAAAAATTCCCATATTTAAAAGAAAAAAAAAAGAAACTATCCATTGATCGTGAATCGACTCGATGAGCATTTCTCCTCGAAAAAAGAAGAAAAAAAAGAAGAAGCACCGACAGAGTATTGCCCGAAGAGGAACCCGGACAATTCAAACGAAGAAGCTCGCCTTTGTTCTTTCGTGGCTGGCAGTCGAGGCTCGATCGAGTTGGTCAAGTGAATCAAAGGCGAGCTACCGTTTATATTGTTGCGCACATTGATTCCATTTCCCTGCACGAGGTTTCGAATGAAAAGCGAGAAGCACAAGACGGAGGCGGGTATAGGAGGGGAGGCTAGAGAAACGAGTGGCCAGACCGATCTTTCGTGAGAGCATAAATTGGGCTCGGTGCTTTCCGAATTAACGAGACCTCGACCGTCTGAAGCATAAGGGACAAGCTCTAGATTGGCCCAATCGAGAGAAGGAGAGCGCGTATCGCTCCGAAAGGAGCCACTGACCGTTATTGAAGGACCTCGTCCAATAATCTTTCACTCTCTCAGGACCTTTAGGATGCTCATTGTGCCTAAGACTTGAGCATTCGACACACGAAGGGTCTACAGCTAGCCAGAGCATCGTTTGTTATACATATAGGGACGGCCGAGGAACGAACCCTTTATCCTTTTCGAGTGATTATCCTGGGCGTGCCTCCTGAGAGAAGCGCACACCACAGGGAGAGCTGCGAAACTGGAACGGTCGTGAACAGAATGGAAAACGACGCGATGATCCTTGGAGCAGGGTGTCGGCCTTCGAAAAAAAAGATATATAGATGCAGCCGAACAGTAAGTAGGTATAACAGAGAGAGAGAGAGAGCTAAGAGAACATTGTCCATCGAGTTTCACTTCGGTATCTAATCTTTATCTGCGGAGGAAAAAAAGGAAAGACGTGTTACTATATACTCAGGCATTATCGTTATTGTCAGCCGTGTGCTTGTTCAACGATTGTTGGTTTATCGTTGACACTGACCGACGTTTCTGTTTTTCGTGGGGCCACTGGCATGATTCCGATATCGGGCTAATTCGTTCACGAATAATAAGGATAATGATAATTGTTATTTTCCTAGTAATGATAAGTAACACGTTCACCGTTCGCTGAACCATGGTATAAACGAGGAATGTTACGAAGATAATTAAATTGACAGTGTTATTTAAAAAAGACGAGATAATTTGTCATTTTCTTTCACAATTAGGTTATTTTTGTAGTTGTACTACTTGTACGTATAACAAGTGTAACAAGACGTATCGAGAAACAGAGAAAGCAGAGGATGCGAAGTGGAATGGAGAAAAAGAGAGAGAGGAAAGAAAAATGGCAGGAGAGCTAGGTAACTTTTTTAATAGTTCCGAAACTACAGAGAGGAATTCGAAAAAGGAAAGCAACGTGTTCGACAGCTTACAAATCTTTCTTCGAAATAACTCAGAACGATACATACGCTTCTATTTTATAAATGGCGGGATTTTTCGTCGATCAAAATAGAGTGCATACCCTTGTATCGGTTCTCAAGTCTCACACAGAGAGTTTGCTTAATTCTTAATTGAGTTTGTAATCGATATGCGACGGAAGTTGAGAGTTCTCGAGGAAGCTTGATCAATATCGGTCGACAGGGCGGCTCGATTTTCTTTTCCATCCTCCACCACTTTGCAAAATTTCCATCCCCCGGCGGAAGAACCGCTTCCTCTCCTTCGTTCGGCGGATATTTTACAAGTTTCTTCGAAAACAGTTTCTTCTTCCATCCACCGGGATCTTTGTCGAAGCGTTTAACCGAGACTCGTTTATCCTTTAATCTGCCAGCAAATAAAATACCAGGCGGAACCTACCCAAATAACACGAATCAGTTCCATGTTGCGGAAAGTTAAACACCGATGAACATCGCGGGTTCAGAGTCGCGTCGAAAAAACGCAACGGAAACTACAACTTTTCAGCCGTGTTCCGCAAAAATACGCGAACTTGATCGAAGTGGGACGAACTTTCTTTCAGACCGGTATCTTACTGGGAAAACATTAATTTCCCAGTTTGCTCGGTTCCCTTCATCCCAGATTCCTCGAAGGGAACCCGCCACGAGTACTGCACAGGGTGTCTCCGAATTTTTAATGCAACTCGAAAAAGGGTTGAAAATATTTTAAGGAAAAAACATTGTTCAACCCTTTTCAGGGTTACTATCATTTTGGAGACACCCTGTGTACGAAGGTTAATAAAATTCGAATTAGGATCTTCCACTTTGGGGCACTCGAATTCTTGAAATTTGGCTTGCACCAAGGTGCCATGGATCTTTAGATTTCGATATCCATCGAATTAAGATTGAAACACCTTGTATACGAAGGTTAATAAAATTCTTTACAAAGACAAAATTTTTAAATTAGGATTTTCAACTTTGGGGCACTCGAATTCTTGAGATTTGGCTTGCACCAAGGTGCTATGGATCTTTAGATTTCGATATCCATCGAATTAAGATTGAAACGCTCTGTACACGAAGGTTAATAAAATTCATCGCCTAGACAAAATTTTTAAATTAAGATCTTCGCCTTGGGGCCACTCGAATTTTTAGAATTCGTCTTGCACCAAGAGCCAGGGATCCATAGATTTTGCAATCACGAGATTTTCGATTTAGAGATTACTCTACATTTTCCACTAATTTTTTTAATATCGATTCACCTCTTCTCGGGTTGTACTAACTATTCAGAGACACCCTGTATAACCAATCGACGAGATCCTCATGGTGTTCGCCATTGAGTACAAAGAGGAAGGGACGGCTGGTAATAAAGTGCTAGACGAATCGGCATCGATTATGTCCCTCGCTATTGCTAATTGCGGCTCGACGACGAACAAACGGTCGGCCTTCCGCTTTATCGTTTGCAAATTTGCTCGATGAACCCGCGAAAGAGATAGAATGGAAGTGAGAGGAGAGGTTGTATCAGGAAATGGAAGGGTTGGGGGAGAGGGAGAGCTTTGAATTATCCCTCTTTCACGGAAAGTTTCAGCAATTTAGATTAAGATCAAAAGGCAACCGGATAATACCTTGAATACCTACCGGCGATGGGACTGTTGCGAACAACTTGTTATGTCTAGCTTACACTTACCTTTCTTATGCGCCACCGGGAAAACAGCCTCTCGATTCGATTCTACGGATTCCTGGAGAAGGGAGGAAGGACTCGTCACGATGAGTCTGGTGGCTTTTCGCTTCGTTGTCCGCGGGTTAATTGCGTTTTCGCTGGCTATTGATGGTTTATAGACGATGGTGTCATTTCCTTTTTACGAACAGAAGAATAGTTTCGTGAATTCGTTATTTTCTTACGAATCATTTGTCTGGTAATGGAGAGGATTAGATTTTTTAGACATTTCTTAGACATTGGACATTTCTATGAAAAGAATTAATGGATTTCATTTTTTATATTCTTTTGTTTTTTAAATTGTTGGGTTAGGCTATTAACCGATTGGTATTCGGGAAGAAAAGAGATGTAAATAGCTACACTGTGGGTTTAAAAGTTTAAAATTAATAGACACTTTATTGCACGCATGAATTTTCAGAGAAGAATTGAAGATTTTGCTGTGAAAAGGAGGCAGCCCCATAATTTTCTGAGATTAAGTTATAGGTAGCATGTAAAAAGAAGTTCTGAACAGATCGATGCAAGAAAGAAGCAGATCCGATAATCCAATCCCAAGTTATAAGGATGCACCCTATCTCTTTTCCCCTAATTACTCCTCTAATATTTTTTTTTAAATTGTGTAGATTTCAGGTCAAATTTATATCAACCCTATTTTTATTACTTTTCCAAAAATTAGTACATTTCTCGTAACAAAGTCTTCAAATGAACGTTTATAAACGAACCGAAGGAATTTCGTATTACCGGAACGTACCGCGAAACAAAGTAGAGAAAATTGCTAGGAAAGGAATTACGTGGAAAACTTGCAAGAGATTCGATGTTGGTATAATCGAACAAATGCCTCGAAACTTTTGACGGCTGGTATAGGTAGTTGTTACATTTCCGTTACGAAGTACGTAGAAACACGCTTGTTTCACGTACGATCGGAAACTTTGTCAAGAAACGATCGTAAACGCGAGAAAAATAGAGAAACCGATCATTTTCCTCTACCACTATATTACGTTACAGACTCCCATAATCAAACCGTAAACCGCATACAAG